TGGCTTAATTCCCCAGGGGTTGGACAAAAACAGAGCATTCCTCCCCCGCCATCCCCCATAAAAAAAAAAAAAAAGAGAGAGAGAGAGAGCTTTCTAAGAAATCCTGGAGGTTCTGACACATACATAACCCTTCACATAGACACTGACAAGGACAGTATGCTCTTATTGGGATGGATGGAGAATGGGGCAGCTTGGTGTAGCAGGGAAATCTTGACCTGAATTAAGAAGATCTGAGTTCAAATCCTCAACTTACTTGCTGTGTGACCTTGAGCAAGTTCCTAACCTTTCTGATGCTCACAGGTTCTGGTAAAGTTGTTAAATAATGCAGTTACATAACCCACAGTAGGTTCAATGAAGCAAAGGTTAGCCTGAGTCCGAAACTGAATTATCTTGGTTTTTATTTAACACGTATTTGCTGAGCCCTATCAAATACCAGGCTGTGTACATATATCTCCCCTATTCTAGAAAGGCTCATGAAGTGAAGGCCCAGCTCTGTTCCATCCTGCAGACCTTCCTCAGGATGGCGGGAGGCTGTGAAGGTGAGCATCCCTATGTCCTCTCCCTTGGCTGGGGCTCCTGGTCCCATCTCAGCAGACAACCCCCACTTCCCTCTTAGCCACCTTCCTAATAACCAAGTGAAAGGTTTCACAACCTAGTGAGTAATACCAGATGGTAGTGATGCGCAGGCCACTTCTGCTTTTTATTATTTATTTCTCTTGAGAGTCTCTAGAGGACCAACTCTGGGAAGGAGAGTTGAAGGTTTCAGGGGGAGAGGGAGGGGGTGGGAATGAGAGCCACTATGACATGGTGGGTGTTTGAGATTCATTCCCCTCCTACAGGAAAAAGTGTTCCTAGCCTCTGAGTGCCCACATCACTGTGATTATTTATGGTTACCTCAGATCACACTGTGTCTCCTCCAGTCCAATTGTGCTCCCCATTCCTTAGTGTCTGGTCAGAGACTGCCCGTGATGTAGGTTTGATAAGCATATCGGCACCTGCCTGGTATGCTGTACACCTTGGCAGTAACCACCACACCTGCCCATCCAAAACCCAGCTTTTAGGATACTTCAGTGTCATTCACATATTTTCTTGGCCTCAATTAGATTTCCCTTTGGTCCAACCTGAAACTACCCTGCGTGAGCTTTTATTTGAATTAATGCCTGACTGCCTTTCCTTGACGTTGGCGACGTTGTGGGTGGGAGGGCTGACTCTGTCCTTGATCTCACTTTGCCTCCTCTGTCAGAACTGCTTTAACATTGACCCCATTTCTCTCCTTCCCCAGAACTCACATGCTGCGTGTCAGACTGAGCTATCCCTATTTCATACTATAAGCCAAGACTCGCTACACTGTCCTACTGATGTTCACAGTCATGCCCGGGAAGGAGGCAGCCCCATTTCCAGCACATTTCAGTGGGAGACCTTCACATGTGCCCCCTGGAGACTCGGTGGGGCAGGGGAAGAAACTGTTAGGAGTGCACGGCGCCAAAGTCGCGTTTCCATGTGTGAATCAATGTCACCTCGCTTTCCTCTCAGAGACCTCACTGTCCCACAGCGGGACCTGCCTGAAAATTGAGGGGACGAGGGAGCCCCTCAGCCTCCTCCTCCTCCAGCACTCCGCTCCCAGGCACCGCGGCTCCTCCAGCAGCATAGCTGCTGGGAGCTCAGAGCTGCTGCTGCCCTGCATGTGTCCGCTCAGCCCTGTTGTCGGCGCCATGATGGTCTGCAGGAGGGACATGGCAGCTTTCTGAATGGATTTTTCTCAAGGAAAGTGCCAGTGTATGCAGTTCATGACATTCCCCTATCTTTGCCGTTACTGTCACTTGGCTTTTTCTCAATAGGCTTCATCTTTATTTTTTTCTAATGGGGAAGTTTTGCTCTCACCCCTGCATCCTATATTTGGCTCTCCCTCCTCTACCCCTCCTAGATACAGAATTATGAGATTCTGACAAAAAATAAGAAAATCTTCTTCAGTAAGCCTGTGAACTCTTCATATCATCTGTATTTTATTGTTGGAGAGAAGCTGGTGTCCTACTTGGTTCTGCCTGGCCCCAAACAGCTCCAGCAAAAGCAGGTGTTGAAACAGCTGAGCGTGTGTATCACCGCGTGTATCACCGTGACAAGCCATTCGCGGACTGCCCTATTCCCTGACAGCCAAGCCAGCCGCCGAGCAACTGCGGCCAGGTTAGTCCTTCAACGAGTCACAAACCCCCCAGGTTTATTTTAAGCAGACGGAATCTGTTTGGCCTAGGAGGGTGAAATGAGAGAAGTGTGTTTGCAGGTGAGTGTGCATATACGACACCACAAGCCCCCCCACCCTTCCAGCCCAGACATTTCTGTGAACACACGTGCCTAGGCCCCGGGAGATGTGCCTGTGACCCAGTTTTCGCTGGCTTGGGCTCTTCCTGTCTGCCCTCAGCACCAGCGCTTGCTGGCCCCACAGGCTGGCCATTCTGCAGCTCTGTGCACACAGCTGCAGGGGTAGGAATAGCTTAGTTCCCCACAACTCCCCAAGCAGATATGAGTCTGGCCACTCCCCTGTCCTCCATTTGCAGGGACAGGCTCACAGCACCGTGAAAGAAAACTGGAGTCTCTGGCCTTTGAGCTGTCCCTGGGGACTGCAGCTGGATGGCCAAACAGCCAAGTGGTTGCAAGACAGAATGACTACAATTGAGCTGACACTCCCCCGCCCCCCAAGCAGAGTGAGGTATCATTAAAATGACAATGACACTGTAGATGCCCAGATGCTCAGAGTCTGGGTTCAGCTCAGCAAAGAGAACCTGATGGATGATGGCTGACGGCGATGCCCAGAGCTCAAGCTGCCTTTTCCTTCTCCAGTTTGCAGCCAGAGTGGCTTCTCTTCTAAGGCGTTGCTTCTCATCTTTGGCTTTTGCAAGCGTGACCTGGGGATGTGTCACCACCAATGCCAACTCTTGGAGCTGTTCTGGGTCTTGGCTTGTGTTAGAGGTGCCCAGTGAGTGGGGCAGAGGTGACAGGGATTGTCCTCAGGGTTCCCCAGAGAAAAGTCCCCTCTGAAAAGACCTAGGGAGACGAGGCAGTTGGCTCTCTGCATCACACGCCACATGGTGTGTTCTCTCTAAAGAAAAACACGAGAAAGCTGTCTCAGTGCCCTGCCCTGGACTTATTGTCACTCATGGACACAGGAGGTGCGATGGCTACCTGGCCCTTTCATGCTCCTCTCCTGACCCATGTGAAATGTGACTGTTGATTGGAGAGCAGTCCACTTCTGTGACTCTGCTGCCAAGCTTCACTCTCTCTGCCTCTTGGGAGAGGCCCTCCTCATCCGGGCCCCAGAGATTTGGAGGCTGAGGCCAAGCCCAGTCTGCAGAGAGAACAAGGAGTCCCCCACCCTAGTTGTAGTTCACATTTAGCTTTGGTAAAAGCGCAGCTCATTTTGAGCCACGTGTACCAAGAAAGCCGTTCCTTCACCTTGTAGTAAGAACTCCTGTTCTACAGCCTCATCCTCCTACAAAGAGGATGTTGACTAAGATCTTTATGTTCCCACTTCATCTCTGGAAAGTTCCCCAGCATTCTGACTGAACACTCAAGGGAATAGAGAAATGACACCAAGGAGCCTCTAACATTGGCCTTGGCCGTTCTGAGCAGTTGGTCCTGAGAGGGTTTCCCGGCCACCCCTTCCTGGGGCCACAGTGTCTCCATTGTGTGTGTTGGGGGCAGGTCACCATGGTGCAGCGAGCTCGTGGGGTAGACATGCAGGTCTGTCTGCACGGCCCACGGCAGATGTGCCCGGTGGCACTGTGCTGAGCCTGGTCTGTGCTCCCTTGGATGAGGACACAAAAAGCTCACAAGCCATCTTCCCATTCTGCGTCACCACCTGCCCACCCCCAGAGATGGTGCAAAAGAGGAGGACAGACTGGTTTTTAGCCCACCGCTCACAATTCTACTTTGCCCACAGCCCGGTTTCTATCAGTTAGCATCCAACCAGGGACACAGAAGCCACTCCAAATATTTAAAACAGGGGTTTTAATCCAGAGAATTATTGAACACAGAAACAAGAAGAGGCCAAACTCAGAGGTGGGGAGCAATAGCAGGAAATAGCCACCCCCAGAGGCTGGTGGAGGCCACGTTACCAGAGCACGGGGACTAGGTCCAGTGGGAGGAACTGGGGACCACAGAAGGCCTATATGGTGGGACCTGGGGCCTCGAGGAGGCATGGTCACTGCTGGAAACAACCCCCCCCAGGCATGTGTGGGGAGAAATAGCCTGGCTTCTCCTTTTCTCGTGCCCTGCAGATTCTTCAGGTGCCTCTTGTTAGTTAAACCCAGCTGGAAGCCAGCTGACCTGGGGTCCTGGGATAAGCACACTGCAGCGGTCAGCCCCCGCCGCTCAGAGCAGGGTGGGGGGGGAAGAGGAGCAGGTCTGAGGCAAGCAGGCTGCGATGTACGTGGCCTCGGTTTGTCCTGTGTCATGTCCAGCCTGCTGTTTATGCCCCATGCTATTCTTAGACCCCGGTGAGAGTAGACGCAGGAGCTGACCCCGTGGGGGTTTTGTAGACTCACTCACCTAGAGAGGAAAATGTTTTTGGAAGGGAGGGGTAAAGCCTTTATTCTCCACGGTTGTCCTTGTTTTCCCTTGGGGGAATTTACCCGTTTAGCAACCCCACCTCACCATTCCCCTCAGGAAAGCCATGTCCCAGTTTTCTGTGCATCCTTCCCCTCCGTTCCTCTGCTCCGAACTTCTGATTTGCCTTGCCAGAGAACACTAGCCCAGACCATGCATCAGTGGTCATGAGTGTTTCCCCAGGATGATTCATTCAGAGCGTGATATTAGTGTGGACTGTCTGTCTGTAAGTAGATACCATCTACTAATCAATTTGTATTGTGTTTCCAATAAATTTCTGGAGATCATGTCTGGTTTGATGCTGTCGTTTGCTGGGATGGTGGCTCCGCGATAAGGCTCAGTGCGTGCTCGCCCCAGCCCCCAGCATCAGGTGCTCCTCGTCTTGGGTTCACTCTCCCCCTGCGTAGCTCACAGACCAGGCTGGAGAGGCTGACCTTCCCCAGCCACACTGAGACTCTCAGAGACCTATGCCCAAGGTCTGCATTTTCTTCTGCGGGGTCCCATCAGCCACATCCTGAAGCTAGGTCACTCCAGGAGGGAGGTGGCCTTGGACCCTCGAGTCCCCTCGGCCCAGAGGTAGGAGGAAGCCTTCCCCATCAACCACTCTTGCGCTGCTGTGCCCAGTGCTGGCCCCCGTGTGAGAGCGAGGCTCCCTAGCAGGTGAAGTAGACTCAGGAGCTGCATGTCCCGCAGATGGAAGTCCGGCACATTCTTCTCGGGCCTGTAAGTAGAAAAGAAATGTCGGAGCTTTCTTGAAGGGAGAGGGATTCTGATCCGAATGCCTGGCATTCTCCACTCTTTCCTGAGTGCCCTGAGTGTTGAAACCTGCTTGGTAGAAATGACTGTTGTGTATTTTACTGCTTTCCACCTGTTTGACTGCAGTGTAGATTCTGCCTCGCGTGCTGTGCTAGTCATCGTAGCTTCACTGGGGAGCCTTCAGCCCCTGTCTGTGAAGTACGCCTGTTTGTGACCCTTGTTTGCTGGGATTTGTGAGAGAGGTTTTTCAGAGAGAGAGGGGGGGCGCCTGTGTGGCTCACCTGGTTGAGCGTCTGATTCTTGATTTCAGCCCTGATCGTGATCTCACGGTCCTGGGATTGAGCCCCACGTCCGGTTCTGCGCTGGGTGTGGAGGCTGCTTGAGATTCTCTCTCCCTCTCCCTCTGCTTCTCCCCCTTCCTGCTTGTGTGTGCTCTTTCTCTTTCTAAAAAAATAAATAAAATAAAATAAAATAAAATAGGAAGAGAGACACTGAGTTTCCCTCCAGAATTTCACTAGAGAAGCAAGACACACACACACAAGGTTACCTACCAGAGACCAGGAGTGTTGTAATTAAGGTGGTGTCTGTTCTTGCAGGAATTCTGGGATAGAGGGCTCAGCAACACAGGACTCGTGGTCAGAGAAGGTTTTGTGGAAGTAGGGGGACCCCTCAAGATGCAACACAGCGGCCCTCGCTGAGAATTTTTTTTCCATTTGTCTTAAGTGTGTTCACAATTGCTCACTGAAGCATTTTTATGATGATTGCCTTAAATTCCTTGTTAGACAATTCTAATCTGTGGGACATCGCAATGTTGACAATCTGTTGTGTTTTCTCATTCAAGCCGAGAATTCGCTGGTTCTTGGTATGTTCGTTGAATGCTTTTGATTGAAACCTAGACATCTTGAGTATTATCTACTAAACTCTAGATCTTATTTAAATACTGTGTTTTAGCAGGCCCTGTGGGGGAGCTGCTTTGTTACTGCTAGATGAGATGCAGGGCTGGGATCCCCACTGCGCTTGCAGGGACACTGGGGAGCTAGAGAGGCTCCTTCTTACAGCTAGGTGTTTTGTTTTCTTTGCTAAGTTTTCTTTGTTTTTTTTTCTTCTTTTTTATTGAGACATAATTGATATATAATATGTTAATTTTAGGTGTACAACATAATCATAGATATATGTACGTATCACAAAATGATTACCACAATAAGTTTAGTTAATAGCCAACACCACACATGGTTACAAGCTTTTTGTTTTTCTCCATGGGAACTTTTAAGACTTACTTTCTTAGTAACTTTCGAATATACAGGGCGCCTGGGTGGCTCAGTCGGTTAAGCGACTGCCTTCGGCTCAGGTCATGATCCTGGAGTCCCGGGATCGAGTCCCGCATCGGGCTCCCTGCTCGGCAGGGAGTCTGCTTCTCCCTCTGACCCTCCCCCCCCCATGTACTCTCTCGCTCTCATTCTCGCTCTCTCAAATAAATAAATAAATCTTAAAAATATATATATATATACAATATAGTATTTAAGTATAGTCACCAAGCTATAAATAACATCCCCGGGACTTGTTTCTCCTGTGACTGGAAGTTTGTACCTTTTGACCAACTTCACCCATCCTCTCCCTACCTCTCACCTTTGGCAACAACTAATCTGTTCTCTGTATCTATGAGTTTGGTTGGTTTGGGTTTTTTTGTTTTTTGTTTATTTTGTTTTGTTTTTAGATTCCATATGTAAGTGAGATTGTACAGTATTTGTCTTTGTCTGATTGATTTCAGTTAGCATAATGCCCTCAAGGTCCATCCATGTTCTCACAACTGAGAGAGTTTCCTTCTCTTTTATGGCTGAATAATATTCCTGTGTGCGTGCGTGTGTACACACCCCATGTTTTCTTTATCCATTTATCTCTCAGTGGACACTTAGGTTGTTTCCATGTCTTGGATATTGTAAATAATGTTGCAGCAAATGTGGGGGTGCAGATATTTTTTTTTGAGAGTGATTTTGTTTCCTTTGGATAAATATCCAGAAGTGGAATTGCTGGATCATATGGTAGTTCTATTTTTATTTTTAATTGTTTTCATTTTCATTCATCTCTATTTTCTTATTTATCTTATGATTTCTTCTTTGATCCATTGGTTGTTTAAAACTGTATTGTTTCGTTTACACAGTTTTATGAATTTTCCTGTTTTGCTTTTGTTATTGATTCTTTTTTTTTTTTAAAGATGTTATTTATTTATTTGAGAGAGAGAAAGAGAGAGTAAGCCTGTGTGAGAGGAGGAGCAGAGGGAGAGAGAGAAGCAGACTCTGTGCTGAGCGTGGAGCCCAACACAGGGCTCAATCCCAGGACCCTGAGATCATGACCTGAGCCCAAATCAAGAGTGGTCACTTAACCCGACTGAGTCACCCAGGCACTTTCGTTATTGATTTCTAACTTCATCCTGTTGTGGGTGAAGATACTCTGTACAATATCTATCTTTTTGAATCTATTGAGACTTAATTTATGGCCTTAACCTATGATCTATCCTGGAAAATGTTCCATGTACACCTGAGAAGAATGTGTGTTCTGTCGTTGTTGGGTAGAGTGTTCGTACATGTAGGCTAGATCTAGTTGGTTTATTGTGTTGTTTAAGTCCTCTGTTTCCTAACTTGTCTCTGTGTGGTTGTTCTAGCTATTATTGAGAGTGGAGTATTGAAGTCTTTGCTACTGTAGAACTACCTATTCCTCCCTTCAATTCTGTCAGGTTTTGCTTTATGTATTGTGACGGTCTGTCATTAAGTGCGTGAATGATTATAATTGTTACACCATCTTGTGGTACAGAACCTTTTATCAATATTTAATATCCTTCTTTGTAAACCTTTTTGATTTAAAGGCTATTCGGTCTGATACTAGTAGAGCTACCCCTGCTCTCTTTTGGTCACTATTTGCATGGAATAGCTTTTTCACTTTAAACCTGTTTGTGTCTTTGGATCTCAAGTGAGTCTCTTGTAGATAGCATAGAGTTGGATCATGTTTTTATCCATTCTGCCAATCTCGATCTTTTCATTGGTGAGTTTAATCTATTTACATTTAAAGTAATTACTGATAAGGGTGGGGTCTTACTTCTGTCATTGTGCTATTTGTTTTCTATATGCACTATAGCTTTTCATGTTTCTCACTCCTATATTACTGTCTTCTCTTGTGTTTAGTTGATTTTTTGGTAGTGAAGAGTTTAATTTCTGTTTGTGTATATTCTATAGCTATTTTCTTTGTGGTTACCATGGGGATTATACTGAACATGCTAAAGTTATAACTGTAATTTGAATTTATACCAGCTTAACTTCAATAACATACAAAAAGTCTGCTCCTTTATAGCTCTGTCCCTACCCCTTTTAGTTATTGAAGTCACAAAATTACATTTTTATATATTATGTGTCCCGAAACATAAACTAATGATTCTTTTAAGTGCATTAGTCTCCTAAATTATGTAGAAAAAAAGATTTGGAGTTAGAAACCAAAGTTACAGTAATATTAGCTTTTATACTAGTAATTGTTTTTCTTTCAATGTGTTAGTCTCTTCAGTCATGTAGAAAGCAAACAGAAGTACAGTTACAAGTGATTGTTACAATAATACTACCTTTAATAAGTACCTATGTATTTACCTTTATTGAGATCATTACTTCTACATGTGGCTTCGAGTTACTGTCCTTTGTTTTGTTTTGTTTTTTTCTTTAAGATTTTATTTATTTATTTATTTTAGAGAGAGAAAGAGTGCACACACAAGCAAGGGAGGAGCAGAGGGAGAGGGAGAAGCAGACTACGCTAAGCACGGAGCTGAGTTACTGTCCTTTGATTTCAACTTGTAGAACTCCCTTCATCATGTCTTGCCAGGCAGGTCTTACGGTAACAAACTCTCTCTCAATTTTTGTTTAACTGGGAATATCTTAATTTCCCCCTCACTTTTGAAGGACTGTTGCCATATACAAAGTTCTCGATTGACAGGGTTTTCTTTTAGCACTTTGAATATCCTGGTCCACTGCCTTCTGGCTTCCAAAGTTTTTGATGAGAAATCTGCTTATTTTCTTATTGAGGATCCCCTGTATGTGACGATTTGCTTCTCTGTTGCGGCTTTTAAGATGCTGTCTTTGTCCTTTGTCTTTTGAAAATTTGCTTCTAATATGTCTCAGTGTAGGTCTCATTGAGTTTATCTTTTTTGGAGTTCATTGAGCTTTGCCTCATAAAGGACTAGCTGAATTGTTTTGTCCCCACTGATCAATGGCAATAAAATGCTTTTTAACCAAATTTTGGTTAAGATTCTGTCCTTCCCATAGGCCCCTGGACTTTGGCCCCCCCCTCAGCCTGAGCCAGCACACAAACCCTCCTGAGAATAGGCTGGCCTCAGGGTAAAACTCTGATTTACTATCCTATCATGCCACTCTTTCATCCCACTTCCTCACACCCATTATTTTCTATAAAAGAAAACTCTTTTTGCCCAACCCATGTGACGCATGCCGATCTTAGGGGTTCTTACAGTCGTCTCATATGCTGCCCCCCCACCTTACAATCATCCCTCCTCCACTGTCACCCTGGTAGTAATCCTTCAAAGAAAATCACTCCTTACTAAATCTGGATTTGATCTTTTATTTGACACCAAGAATATGTCAGTATCAAGGAAAGAGAGTCTGTAAATTTGGATTAGGTCATAAATGCCTGTGTATTAATAAAATCCCATGAATAAGTGCTGTGAATCTCTAATCAAAAACCATTGGCCTCGGGCACCTGGGTGGCTCAGTCGTTAAGCGTCTGCCTTCGGCTCAGGTCATGATCCCAGGGTCCTGGGATGGAGTCCCACATCGGGATCCCTCCTTGAGGGGAAGCCTGCTTCTCCCTCTCCCACTCCCCCTGCTTGTGTTCCTGCTCTCGCTATCTCTGTCTCTGTGAAATAAATAAATAAAATCTTTAAAAAAAAAAACCATTGGCCTCCAAGGTGCTAGATTCAAAGAAGTAAAGTTGCAATCAAGTTAACATTTTTAAAACAACAAATTATGATTGATAACACTTTCCTGTTTTTGTCTAATATTACATAAAGCAGCACCAGGACTCTGATAAATAGAAACATATCATGGACAGCTAGGGCACTGACAATTCTCTAGAACTTCCTATGCAGCATACAATTTCTTAAAATTTTATGTTAATAACATTTTTTTTTTTAAGATTTTATTTATTTGTGAGAGAGAGAATGAGAGACAGAGAGCATGAGAGGCAGGAGGGTCAGAGGGAGAAGCAGACTCCCCGCGAGCAGGGAGCCTGATGCGGGACTCGGTCCCAGGACTCCAGGATCATGACCCGAGCCGAAGGCAGTCACCCAACCAACTGAGCCACCCAGGCGCCCTGTTAATAACATTTTACCCAAACAAAAGCATCTCTTGATTTAACCAACTTCCTGTGTTGCTCATTAATAGTAACATATCAGATAAACCTAATTATTTGTAATACCTCTCTTTTTACAAAGTTAAACGAAAAAATCCTAAGTGATTTTCTTGGGACCCTCTGGGAAATCTCAAAGATGGTTTTAGGTGTGAAAGATACTCTTTAGGATTTTATTTTTTTATTAAGATTTTATTTATAAAAGAAATGACATGTATCCATTATTATGGTATCACACAGAGTATTTTCACTGACCTAAAAATCTTCCGTGCTCTGCCTATTTGTTCCCCCACTCTCCACCTCCTGGCACCCCTCCCTCGCCACCCATCTCTCCAGGCAACCACTGATCTTTTTACTGTATCCATAGTTTGGCCTTTTCTAGAGTGTCATTTAGTTGGAATCTTACAGTATGTAGCATTTTCAGATTGGTGATTCTTTCACTTAGCAATATGCATTTAAGAGAGGATCTGATTTGGGGAAGACAAAATATCAAAAGCTTCTGTCACTTTTGAGCACTTAAGGTAGGATCACGATTATTGAAAAACAATACTTGGCTACCACATTTCTTTTTAAGTTTATTTATGTTTTTAGTAATCTCTACACCCAATGTGGGGCTCAAACTCATGACCCTGACACATGCTTCTCTGACTGAGCCAGCCCCTTGGCTACCACATTTAACTAAAATGATGGTAAAAAGATTGTTAAAGTTAACATAAAAGGAAACATGACTATAAAGAATCTTAGCTCTTTCAAAAGTGAGAGGACTTTATTCACTTAAATAATCAAGGACATGATAAAGTCAACCTAAAGCATAAGAAATTATTCTGATAAGACACAGAATCTTTGCCCTCTAAACAGATAACTCTGAAGGTAAAGAAAAACCTTTAACCGGGTGCCTGGGTGGCTCAGTCGTTAAGCGTCTGCCTTCGGCTCAGGTCATGATCCCAGGGTCCTGGGATCGAGCCCCGCATCGGGCTCCCTGCTCAGCGGGAAGCCTGCTTCTCCCTCTCCCACTCCCCCTGCTTGTGTTCCCTCTCTTGCTGTGTCTCTCTCTGTCAAATAAATAAATAAAATCTTAAAAAAAAAAAAAAAAGGAAAAACCTTTAACCAAGCCCTTATTAAGAGAAGACTGATAATCCAGGAAAATTTTGTCTTTTTTTTTTTTTTTTAAGATTTTATTTATTTATTTGACAGAGAGATAGCGAGAGCAGGAACACAAGCAGGGGGAGTGGGAGAAGCAGGCTTCCCGCCGAGCAGGGAGCCCGATGCGGGACTCGATCCCAGGACCCTGGGATCACGACCTGAGCCGAAGGCAGACGCTTAATGACTGAGCCACCCAGGCGCCCGAAAATTTTGTCATTTTACAGAGAAAGCCAGATTCTAGTTTGGCATCAGTATAATATTTAACACTAAAACTTTTTTTGAAAATCATATAAATAAACCCATCAATCCTTAGCTAACTTTGGCCACTCAAATAAAATTCCTTTCTGCAAAGGTACAACTTTCTATATCCATACACATCCATTATAACTTTTCAAGGTGGCAAAAATGGACATGTTTATCAATAGACCCTTAAATATATATATATATTATATATAGCCTTCAGTACCATATAAAGAGCTAAAAATTATGCTTGAAATAATGTTTCAGCATTTTATTTTACTAAAAAGGGATTTAGGAATTAAATGAATATCAGTTATTGAACCCAATTTAGAATCAGTCCAAGATTTTAGGTTACCTAAAGGTATTGGACACTATCTTCTAGTTGACACACTACAAAATATAATTACTCTTGAAATTTAAGTTTATCAGAATAACGATTCAATTTGACTAAACACAAATTTTTCATATTCTTAAACATTAAATAGAAGTGGTGCTAGCTAATTTGATCAGTAAATCTGTAGTAGTTTAGGAAGAACATACCCAAATAGAATAAAATGTAAATTTATACTTAACGCTGATAACTCATAGAAGACATAGCTATTTTTGTTAAAACAGTATTAAATTAGTCTCATACAAAAAATTTATATAAATTATGTGGTATTGAATTCTTAAAACATTTGAGTTAGTGTGTAACTAACTAACTTTCTATACATTGAAAGTATTAGAGGCTCAATTTCCTTAATGTGGGGGAATTTTAGGAATGTTCAATTTATATAAGCTCCCATCTCTAAGATAAATAAATCTCAATCAGAATAGAGGTCCTGGAAGAGATTTATAATCTAACAAATTTGATAATCTGAAGGTAAGAAAATACTACATACCCAGACACAAACATATAAACAGGGCTTATAGCTTCAATTCTAAAATTTCATCTATAGGTCAAGAATACACAGAGAAAAAACTCAGTTTTTGAACATTTCCTATCAATGAGCTATTGTCTTCTCATTTATGGGAAGTATGAATTCTTAACTGACCTGAGTTCAAAATACATAAACAGAAGAGTAGCAAACTAGATGCTTCCTTGTCTTTCACCAACAAGGACAAGACCTCTATAAACCATTATATCATTTTTCATCACCTTCCCTCATCCCTCCTGCAGGTCAATGGAAGCCTGCTCTCCTAGGGAGGACCCATCTCCTATCTATCTCCTTCCCTCCCTTCATCCTTCCCTCTTTCCCTCAGTAGCCCCCATCCCCTTCCCCCACCTCTCTCTCCCCTTCCCTCCCTCTCTCTTATTCTCTCTCTTAGAATCCAAATTCCACTGTGTCTGGTTTGGCTTTCCTTTGCTTTCTATACAAGCACAGATTTGTTTATTTATTTGTTTTTAAAGGTTTATTTATTTTAGAGAGAGAGTGCAGGGGGGTGGGGCAGAGAGTCCTAAGCAGACTCCACACTGAATGCGGAGTCTGATGTGGGGCTGATCCCAGGACCCTGAGATCACAACCTGAGCTGAAACTAAGAGTGAGATGTTTAACCAACTGCACCACCCAGGCACCCCCAAGCACAGGTTTGACAAGGCCCAAGAGTGGGGCAAAGAAGCTTGCAAAGAGGGGCACCTGGGTGGCTCAGTCGTTAAGCGTCTGCCTTCAGCTCAGGCCGTGATCCCGGGGTCCTGGGATCAAGCCCCGCATCAGGCTCCCTGCTCAGCGGGAAGCCTGCTTCTCCCTCTCCCCTTCCCCCTGCTTGTGTTTCCTTTCTCACTGTCTCTCTCTCAAATAAATAAATAAATAAAACATTTTCTTTAAAAAGTAATAGTAATGATATGACATAAATATACATACTTTTTTTCTTATTCTGCTACAAAGTCTTCCTATTCATAATTTCCATGCCACAGAGGCAGGCAGTCTTCTTGCCAGAGGCATGACTGTCATTTATGAGCACTTTCTTCTATTGCCAAATATTCCCCAATCATCTTCTGTAATAAATTCCTAGAAACAGGACCACTGGTCAAATGGTACAAATATTTTTATGACTCTTGATATATCCAGGAAGCCTGTGATAGTTTTACTGTCACCAGCAATATATAACACCCGTTGGTCTTTTAAAATCACATCTCACTATATATATATATTTTTTTTTTTTTAAATAAATGTTGGTTGTTATTACCTTTTTTTTTTTAAAGATTCTTATTTATTTGAGAGAGAGCACGAGCATGAGCAGGGGGAGGAGCAGAGGGAGAGGGAGAAGCAGACTCCCTGCTGAGTCCTGGGACTCCAGGATCACGACCTGCACTGAAGGCAGATGCTTAACCAACTGAGCCACCCAGGTGCCCCCTCACTATATATTTTTAATTTAAAAAGATGAAAAAGTGTTTCCTCATTTCATTTTTTTCCACATACCTCAATTCCCAAATTCGAAAATTCCTATCAAATCACATGTCCCAAGTTCTGGTTTGGGAAATATGGGGATGGGGGGAGAAGGGACACGGGGAAATAGGTCATATATTCTCTGCTATCATAGCTACACGCGCACACGTGCACCTTACACACGTGTGTGCACATTCATGCACTCGGCAACAGTTTCCTCCTAGGTTCTGTCTGAGTCTGTTCGGGCTACTTGAACAAAACACCACAAACTAGGTGCCTTGTAAACAACAAAAATAAATTTCTCACAGTCTTGGAGGCTGAGGAATCCAAGATCAGGGTGCCAACAATTCAGTGTTTGGTGAGAGTCCGCCTTCTAGGCGGGCTTTCTGCTGTTTCCTCACATGGCGGAAGGGGCGAGGGAGCTTTCTAGGCCTCTTGTATAAGGGCATTGATGCCTTTTGCAAGGGTCTGCACACATGACCTCCTCACCTCCCGAAAATCCCATCTCTTAACACCATCGCTCGGGACATTAGGTTTTCAACAGATGAATTTTTTCAACATTCAGACCATAGCAGTTCCCTCGTGGAGCCCCTCGAGAGGTGATAAGGGAACTGAAGGCAGACAGATGGGGGCAAATCCTGCCAACAAATGGAAACTGGAGGAACAGAGAAGGCTTCGGTGTGGCCAGGTCAGCCTCAAAGTCTCTCTCTGGCTACTGCTTTTATTCCATTATCCTTGACTCAAAGTCCCCGCTTCCCCCCAGTTTCAAAAGCTTTAACCTTTGGTCCAGGAACAGAGGTTGATTCTGGAAATTCCTTCTATTCCAAACATTCCCCAATCATCTTCTGTAATAAATTCCTAGAAACAGGACCACTGGTCAAATGGTACAAATATTTTTATGACTCTTGATATATCCAGGAAGCCTGTGATAGTTTTACTGTCACCAGCAATATATAACATCCGTTGGTCTTTTAAAATCACATCTCACTATATATATATATTTTTTTTTAAATAAATGTTGGTTGTTATTACCTTTTTTTTTTTAAAGATTCTTATTTATTTGAGAGAGAGCACGAGCATGAGCAGGGGGAGGAGCAGAGGGAGAGGGAGAAGCAGACTCCCTGCTGAGTCCTGGGACTCCAGGATCACGACCTGCGCTGAAGGCAGATGCTTAACCAACTGAGCCACCATGGAAAAACCAGCGGTGGGTGAAGCCCAACAAAACTTCCTCTTTTCTCCAAGGCAGGGAGTGAGTCTGGCTAAATTCCAAGGTGTGGCGCTGCCTGGGGCTGCTGGAGGTCTGGCCTCGGACACACAGACCCAGGTCAGGAACTTCCAAGGAGCAGAAAGGAGCTGGAATTTTCAAGGAGGGAGATGTTGAGACTCACTGTTATTGTAGATCCCCAGTGGAGGGGGTGGAGGGGAGGAAGTCCCTTTTTGTTGCTGCTAAGTGTGCCTCTAGTGGTTGGAGTGTGTATTACAAGCCTAGAGGTCAATGCGGTGGTTAGAGCAGGCAAAAGGCTGTGGTAATTGATGATTTTTATGGGTGAATCCCTTATGAGATGAAATGTTAAGAGTGATGGATAGATATCCTTATAAGGTTCCTATTAAGGGTGACCTTGGAACTGGGTGTGGCACCATGTGGGTTAGGTTGAGTAGCAACTTCAAAAAGCAGTTATGGGTTGGCCTTCCTTCGTTTTTCCAGAAACTTTAATAAAATCTTGCTACTGCTCCTGCCTAGTCTCGTGTGTGTGTGTGTATGTGTGTGTGTGTGCAGCAGGGATGAGAAGGGGTTTGGCCCATATTTCTGAAGCAATAGTCAAGAATGGTTTCTATCCCTTCTCCAAAGCCAGGTAAGGAATTGGCTGAGGTCACTTCGGAAGAGCTGCTCCTCTCCAGGGCCACCAGCATTTTGGGCTGATGAGGTGAGGAACAGTTCTCTAGAAATCACCTGAGGATGGTTCCTGAGCAAGTCCTTTGGGAACCACTCAGAGGCTGCTGAGGAACACTCTGAGGGAGGGGTGTTTCTGATAATAACTCGGGTAAAAAATAGGGTGAGTCTGGGACACTTGTCCTATGGCCTAGGTAGAAGCAGGGATTGGTGGTGAGGAGGAAACACTGACTGGCCTCAGGGAGCCTACAGGGTGGGGGGAGGGTGCAGACTCTAACAGGTCCAGCACCAGCAAGATGGCAGAAGTACTGGGTGCTGTGGGGGCACACGGGATGAGCACCAGAGCCAGTAAGGCTCTGGAAGGAAAACTCCTGGGTGAGGCTCCAGTGGGAGTAGTAGAGAGAATTTTTTTCAGGTTGATGTTTTCTGTTCTTCCAGAGCTAAGGGAGGGTCATGCATGCTGGGAGCTGAGGTGGTACCTCATGGCTTAGCCCGGACAGAGGCTGGGAGGAGCAGGGAGCCAGGAGACTGGGCAAAGGGCCTTCCAAACAAAGATATTTGGGGTTTATCTTGAGGGCAGAGGAGGGCCATGGGCCAAGTTTACGCAAGGGGTGAGCTGACCAGAGTTGGAATTTGGAATGATTCTTTTCATGGATCATCTACTGATTTCCTCCATACCCAAGGCCACATAGGCCCCACCTCCAAAGCACTGCAGTTACCCCACAAATGACACTAGAATTGTTCTACTCTACTCTTGGAGTTCATCATCAATGATCTCTCACCTCACAGCCCGTGGGGGAAGACCTCTTTTTTTGGAAGGGTGAGGTGGGGTGGGGTAGAGCAGCCTACCTGGATTTTTCCCAAGAAGCTGCCTCCCTGTTACTACTCAGGCATTCAACTCAGTAGCTCCTGGGAAGTGATGTCCAACCCAGGCTTCTAGGATTAGGCTCCCTGGCCCAAGCCCTTCTGCTCCACAACCCTTGCTCATGTGCAGAGGACCTGTGGCTGAGATGTGGCACTAATGAGCCCATAATCATGCCTATATATGTAGAGGGAGAGACAAGAATGGCAACTCTGTGGCAGGTGAGCGTCTTCTTTCTAGGTTCTTGGCAGACATTACTAATCAGTCGCATCACTTTCACACTGAGTCAACCCAAAGCTGCAGGCAACCAGGAACAATGCGAGTTGGTGCCTGAGGTGAAGCTGATTGACCGTTCGTGACCCAGACCCAGACAGGACCCAAAGGTCAGGGTGGCTCTGCATCAGAAGCCAGGTAGGAGAGTGGCAGTCACACACAAGCCGGAAGTTCAAAAGCCCTGAGGTAGAGGGCAGGGCGGGGGTGGGGGGCGGGTGGTCAGCCTAGCCAAGCAGAACTGCAGAGAAGGAGGTGATGATTCATGTACATCCAGAACTTTACAGAGCACTTTCACTAAATGCCCACAACTCTTGAGGTAGAAATTACTCACTTCCATATTACAGATGAGGCAATGGAGGCCCAGGGACGTGTACTCACGGGACGTTGCTGGTGCTGTTGCTCTCTGGTCTACCTGGAGGACACACTTCCTCTGAACTAATAGTTCAGAACCCAGGTAAGCACAGGACACAAGATCAGCTTCTCCTCAAAATGTATCCTTGAGCTGAGGCCTACCAGGAGGACTAGCAGCTGAGGCTGAGCCAGGTGGTGCTGGGGAGCCCCCGCGTGACGAGGAAGGGGGCCGGGAGCATTTGCTGGTTCCGGGGGGACGTGAACACTCTCACTCTGGCCTAGTTCAAGCTACCAGAGAGACATCACTGAATTTGGCGTTGGGAAGAGAGGAGCCAGGAGGAAGCCGCTCCAGCCCCCGGATGGCAGTGCCCCAGAGAGGGGGCTGCGTGGCTGTCCTCATGTGTGGTTGTTCAGCTCTCCCCGGGGTCTGTGAGCCCCACAGGCTCTTTCCAGCCTGGGTGGGAGTTTCTTGCTGTTGCTTGCAAGTATAAAGGGCCTAAGAACCCTCATTGAACCTGTGGGGGCGTCAGTCTCAGGGCTTGTGTTCTGGCTTCCAGCTCCTCGATCTTTCCTCCCCACCCTGCTGCTCCCTCAAGGGGTGGGAGGGATGACAAAGCCAAGCAGGAACCCTGGAGAGGGCTGGAAGCGTGCTGCAGGGAGGGGTGGGAGTGGGGCTGGTGGTGCAGCCACCCTTCTAAGACCCCTGCCTCTGCGGAGCCCCTTCTCCCTGTTCCCTTCAGCGGCCCCTTCCCTCCCTGGGGGTTTGGGGCGGGGGGAGCTCATAACCAGGCTGGGCAGCAGCTGACACTTGCTGTGCGCTTTCAAGGAGTAGCCAGGGGCCCCGAGGAGCTGGGAAGGTCCTCTCAGGACCAGGAGTGTGTTCAAGGTGCAGCGGTCACCGGCCTTTCATCAGTCCATAGACCCTATCTGCATCTCATTCTGGGTCACAGAGCAGAACCTGCAAGTGACCGTACTCATTTCACAAATGCACAGATGTGGCCCAGGGAGAGGCAGAGGCTTTGGATAGCTCAGGAGGTGGGCAGGATGGGGTCCCACGCCCTGTCCAGCCCGCCACGGCCTGCCCCTGCTGGCCTGTGCACCAGGGGATGTGCCCAGCAGACGTGGCAACAACCTGACTCTGCCCTGCCGGCTCATCTGGAAGCCCGCCTGAGTTTCCCAGCGGTGACCTTCTTGGAGTCACTGGCTTAGGAAACTCCTGTTGGGATAACAAAGAACGAGAGCTGCCGCCTAGTGGCTGTGCAGTAGCAGGACTTTGGCTTGAACGGTGGGAACGGGGAGCCTGGGGTGGATGGGTGGCCTGGCTGGGGCTGGGTCCCTTGGGGTTGAGGACAAGCGGGCCTGCGGGGACTGTAGTGAATGAGCAGGTATACCCTGTCCACCAGGCAGCGGCCACTACCGAGCTCTAGGAAATGGTCACATGCAGCCAGAAATTCTAATTTTTAAAGAGAAGCCTGATATCCAAAATTTGATGTGAAATCTCTTGATTTTTAAACGCTGGCAACTAGTTACAAAAACATTTATTTAAATTACAGAGGTCAAACAAACTAAACACATCTTCAGGCCACTATCTGCAGGCAGCCCCTGGTCTTGAGCTGAAATGGAAATCTCTTCCCTGGGGGGCTTCCCCTGCCAGCCGGGGCCGTGCCCACCCTGAGATGCTCCCCTGCCACTGCCTCCAGGGTGGGACACTTCACTCTGCCCTGAGGGTGCTGAGCGAACCCCTGCTTCCAGACCCCGTGGCTCCCCACTGTGAAGGTCATGCCAGGAGACCCTGATCAGGTCCTTGCTGCAGTCCCTCCTCCCCATCCTCAGTTCTCCATCTCGAAGACACAGAGGCGGGCCTTGCCCCAAACCACTGCTGTGCTCTTGTGCTGATTTCAAAGCTTCCCACACCCTGGCCTCCTCGCAAACCCCCCACCCCACACAACTAACCCTCCCCCGCTCCGTGCATGTTCCCACCAGCTCACCTGGCAACACAATAGTTTTAGCCACCCCCTCATCCTCCCTCTGAAGCCATTAGGATCTATGGTCCATTGGTCCCACCCGTCCCGGGTCCCTCACTCATCCCCTCAACTTCCACTCTGGAGGCCCCCCATTGTGGTTGTCCTTGCTCAGCAGACTCTCTGGGTGCAGCTCCCACTCCCACGGCACCTCCCACTCCAACCCCCAGCTCCGCAGCCAGTGGCCCCAGGTGGCAGGGAGCCCACCCACTGCTGCTAGTCCCACAGACACTCCTG